CTGGTATCAATTGTCGTGAGCCGTAGTGTAGTCGGGAACAGTATAGGGTCGATGGGGGAGCGGGATATATGGGGGAGGGGGTGTGGTAGTGAATTATGCTGTTGCTTCTGGTTGGCTAGCTTCTTCCCTGCGTATATTGCGACACCCGTGCGCAAGCTTTCACAATCGTGCTGCTGCTCCTCGCGGCTGTCTGTCGTCGCTGGCACTCGCGGACATCGCGGCTTACAATTCGTCCGTTTTGTGGGGGGGCAAAGCTGAGCTCGCAAGCATGTTTTTCATCTCGGCCCTCAGGTGGCATCGAGGACAACTGGGCGTCGGCGGGGAAGGCCTGGCGGAGCTGGCTCGATATGCAAGCCGGCCTGTCCAGCGACGAAGGAGAGGCTGTCAGCGATGGGTGGCGGTCGGCGCTGGCGTGCGGGGCCGCATGCGATCTCCACGCCTGCCGCTCCTCTGCAGGCGCCGCTCGATCGCCCCCTCCGGCACGGTTTTTGGTACTCCCGATTGGCCCTTCTCTGCTTTGGCGTAGGTCAGCGCGCGCCCTGACCCCATCTTCAGCGCGACACCTCGGTGGCCCTGGGGCGCCCGCTTGACCTGCTCTCGCCGCGCATCGCCACCGTGAAGTTCGGATGAGGATTGACTGCGCGCTGCGACTTCCCTGGCCGATCGCCCTCCTCGCCCCCCTTCTTCTCGAACCTTTCTTTCCTTCACCCTGCAATGCAAGAATCTCTCCGCCAACAGAAACTGGCCCTGTCGTGTTCGCCGCGGCTATCCACTCCTTCAAGACCTGCTTGCAGGCTGCGTGCGCTTCGCTCGGCATCGCCTTTATTCAGACACGTGAGCAGGGCGTCTATTATGGCTGCGGCGACGCATGCGTGGGGGGGGGGGGGGGGGCAGGTCGCGCCCTTTCGCTGCGTTCCGCTCCTGCTTGCCGCGCTCCCCCCCTGCCGCGGCCCCCGCCGCGCGCGCGGCCGACTTGGCTGGGGCGGGCCACAACTCTGACGCCACGCGGTGGAAGTCTCGAACGTGGGCGGAGGAGCGTAGCGCACTTCGGCGCCGTGGGCAATGGTTAGTGACCGCAATGTGCGACAGTGTACTTCGCAGTTTGCGTCGTTCTCTCTTGCGCGCTGCCGATGCTGCTGCCGCGCCAAATCTTTCCCTGCGCGCGCGCCCTCGCCCCCCCATCCTCGTCCACTCGCGCGCGGTCGCGCCGGCATGGTCGCAGCGATGTCGCCGCCCCTCTCCTCATCCTTCTCCACTGCATCTCCTGCTTGTTCTCTTGTCGCTCGGATCTCCCCGTTGCGTCCGTTGCAACTGAACCTCGAGGGGTCTGCTAGGAGCCACATTCCATTCTCGTGGACGCCCGGTACTTGGACCGCTAGATCTGACGGGCGCTTCGAGAGCCACTCGCCCATGTCTGGGTCGACTGCCGATAGTCCGTCGAGGCCCCGCAGGCACTGTGGAGCCCAGGGAGTAGAGACTTCCCCCGTTCACGAGCTTTTCTCGAGCCTCATGGCTCCTCTGCGGGCATCTAACTTGGAATCTCAAAATGCGGCTGCCATGACTGGCCCGCGCCCACCCCCCCCCGCGTCTTGCCCGCGCTCGGCGCCACTTGAGTCTCCGCGCTCGCAGCGCAAACCCGATCTTCTCAAGTCACCAAATCGCCAAAGCCTGAACCCGCGCGATCCGCTGTGGCACATGGTCGCACCGTCTTCTCTCTGCCAGCTCATCTGCCCCACTGCCGTGGCGCGGAGCTGCTTGGCCGGCACCGCAGTCGGCGCCTCGGCGCGGGCACGGACCAGCGCAAACGCCGTCGGACCGCTCAGCGCAGCTCCAATGAGGAATTCCTGGATCAAGCCCTCCCATTATCTGCCGTGGGGTTTCGCCCGTCCAGGGCGCCCCTCCTCGTTTCCGTGCTGCCCCGACGGCCTCCAGCCCCATCGCAATCTCCCCCGCCATCCCTCAACCCGCCAGCAAAGAAGGCCCCGGCGCTCTCATGTCCCCCTGCGTGCCGCGCCGCGCAGCTTCGCATTCCGTCGCAAATGCCGCGCGGCGCGCTGCGAGCCCGCCCCCTCGAGGCAAAGTAGGCGGTTCGATTTTCCCTCGTTGAGTTCCCAGCCTCCTTCTCCTCGCGCGTCGGCAAACTGTTTTGATGAGTTGTCACTTGTTTGATGATTTCGATTGCTGTGAGATGCTCGTGTGCATTTTGGGTGCGCGTCATATCGTCCATGAGCGCCCCGAGGGCGAGGTCGCGCGTGGCTGGTGACAGGGGTGATGGCGTCGTGTAGCTGCTGGCGGGGTCTTCCCTTTCCTGTCTTCACCGCTGCTCCACGTACAGGCCGTGGGCGTCGTTGAATTGTCTCGGGGAGCGTGCGAGCCCCATCTGGGCTCCTTCTGCACCTCCCACGTCGAGTGGACCGCCGGCTGCGTCTAGTGTAAATGAGGAGCGATCGATGGCCCCCACGGCAAATGGGCGGTCGGCCGGTCGGCCCCCTCTGCCTGTCTCCAGGCCATTGCTCTCCACGAGGCGCTGCGCGTCGCTGCGAACGCGTTGGCGCTGTCGCAGTCGGCGGCAATCGTGCCGGCAGTTTGCCCTGCGCTGCTCTCCATCGGGCCGCTTGCTCGCAGATGGCCACGTTTTCCCGGCGCCTGTGCGTGTGTGTGTGTGTGTGTGTGTGTGCGTGTGTGTGCGTGGGGGGGGGGGGGGGGGCAACCTGGCGCTCAGGGCGCGCGGTTGGTGGTCTTTCCCCTCTGGTGTACTCGTGAATGCCAGGCCATCGAAAAAGAGCAATCGGCGCGTGGGGCCCTCTCCCCTGCAAGGCCGTCTTTGTTGTTACCCGTCTGTGCTGCGCGCGCCTGACCCCGATGCCAGTCCAACGGGCAAGCCTGCGCTGTCCAACGCAAGTGGAGCATCTGGTCCAGCAACTGCTCGCGGTTGCATCGCCCATCCTACAACCTTGCAGTGCCCGGCCCTTCGTATCGTGATCTCCCCGCCTGGTAACTGCGCTGCTCGCACCCCCTGCTGCCTCTGCCTCCCCCCCGTCGTCCGCGCCCTGCCCTTCCCCCCCAAGCTGCGCGCGGCCCGCCCATCCCATGTCACGTAGTAGCGCCCGTTGTTTTCGCAACCGACCCCAAGCAGTGTAGCGGGCCAAGTCCCCCTTTTCCTCTTGACGATCTGCTGCTCGGATCCCGGTTTCCTCGAGTCGGTCACTCAGGGCGCGGGGATCTTCGAACTGGGCGGCGGGGTCCAGCAGCGGCCATGTAACCCCGAGTGGGAGATCCCGCTCTGGCCATGCTCTACGCTTGCTGGCTTTTTTTCTTGCGGTGACGCAGCATGCTGGTTTTGTCTTTTCCCGCCCGAGCACGCGCATCCTCATCTGCTGGCAATGGCAGCTGGTCGGCAGCGAATTCCCCATGTTCGGCCTTGACCACGGAGATATCGATATTGCTAGCTCCGAGGCCATCACTCAAAGCGGGCTCCCCTAACTCTTCTATCCAACGCTCACGTGACCAGTGGCGCCGCGGGGCCAAGTATAACCTCCTTTTGGGCCCCTATAGTTTCGCTGACATGTGATGAATCACCTGTGCATCTCCGCAAGACTCCGTCGCGTGCACGCGCACCATATCATATCTAGCAGCTCGTTTATTCCTGGATGCCCCGCGGCTTCCCGTTTTCTGCTGTTGCGCAGCCGTCGCGTCCTTGAGCTCCTCCCCCGCTTCCTCAACCTTCTCCTTTGTTCTGCCGACCCCGAGTCTACTTCGCACTTCTCGTCGTTTGTTTCGAGCAGCTCGAACTGGCATGGTTTCACCTTCTCGGGAAGGATGGCTAAGTCGGTCGGTTCGCTCTCTGTGCCGAAGGTCCCTCGGAATGCAGATCTGACCGCCGTGCCGAACTTCTCCCGTGCTGCGTCGCGAGTGGGCCTGCTCACCACCTCCTCCCACGTCTCCTCTCCCCCCCTGTCCAAGTCCTCCTCGGTGGCAGCGAATCGCTCTGCTTCGTGCCCTTCGCCACGCAGTCGGCCAGCCCGTCGCGGCGTATTCTCTGGTGGCGGCGGTGGCGGGATGCAGGTATCTGCGTGCGTATCGAGGCGCCCATTGCCAATCCTACTGGGACGCGGTCTCCCAACCCTCTGGCACGCATCAGTTGCAGGCGCTTTCCCGCAACACGAAGCACCTTACATTCCTGTACTGTCGTCAACGCACCCGGCGGTATGATGAGGTGGTCGGGTCTACTTGTTTGTCCCTGGGGTCCGTGCTATGTTGGTCCGATATCGTATGCTGTCGTCGCAATTGCCATATGGCTCGCTGTACAGAACAGTCTGGCGCTGCAGCCGTTTTTATTTTCCAACTTGGGTGACGTCCACCCCGCCACACTTCCCCCACTCGGCACTACCATCCCCTCGCAACGGTGTTGTAGCCCGAAGTCTGCGTTCAAATCTTCTCCGGTGACAGCTGTGGTTCTGCATCCTAGCTTGTCCACCTCCCCCATCCATCCACCTTGTCGTCTCTGTCCCAAATATAGTGTAATCGGTTCAGTTCGTCTGGATTCTGAGGCATGTTATGTGTCCTTATAGCTGTTTTGGTGGAGATCGGCATTTGTGACACAAGTCTCTTGGGGTCAGTGGGAAAGTCGGAGGGCTAGTCCACAAGCTTCAATGTTCCAGTGACTTTTCTTTCCTGGTGCATGGGCGCATCTGTAGTGGGTGAGCAAGGTTTTTTTACTGGTTGATATGCCTTCGGAGTGCTCGACTGTGTTGGTGCAAAGTAGATTAGTAATACAAACACGCATGTCGGCCAAACTATGGCAAGCAGCACTACTACATTGCCCCCCCGCTCCTCGCCCGAGACTGCGGGCGGGTCCGCACGTCGTTGGGGAGACACCTCCTTCCCCCCCGTGCGGTCGGGAACACCTTTTGATCCCTGACGCCGCCTGGAGGAAAAGGGGGGTGGAGGCTGGCGAGGGGGAGGAGGAGGAGGAGGAGGCCCCTGTCCCACAGCGGCGCCTGCACGGCCCCGGGTTTGCCTGCCGCTGGGTGGGCCATGGACTCGGCGCCCCCCCCGCGGGCCGCCCCCCTCGGCCGCGGCACGCCCGTCACAGGGTCGGACGGCGGGGGCGGCGGGCTTCCGAGGGCAGCGTGGGGGGCCTCTCAGAGGAGCCCAGGGCCTCTGCAGCCACCCAGCGCTCTGAAGACATATAGAGAAGAGAGCGGACGCTTTTTCGCTGTTGTCGGCCGCCCGACGTGGGTGTTCGCTGGGCCCCTCGGACTTGCCAAAAAAAACGGCCGCGCGGAAGGCGCGGGGACTTCCAGGACCCCTGGGGGCCCCGGAGATGGAGGCCGCCCAAGTGGGGTCAGAGAAGAGCCAGAAACCCGATGTCCGATCCCTTCCCCCAGGCTGGCCCCTGACCTTCCAGGAGGGCAAAAAAATAGCACCCGACTTAAAAACCAATCCAAAAGCTATGATACGTCTTGGTTTTAGGCTGCTTCGCTCAGTTGTTTAGGTTTTTAGGCCTCCAGTTCTAAAAAATAGCTCTCTGGAAGGTCAGGGGCGTTTCATCCCGAGTCGTCTTTTGAAAGCCCTGGGCGGCCAGGGCCCCCAGAGACCGAACAGACTGCGAGAGACCGCCGGCGATTTTTTGTCGGACGCTGGGATGTCTGAGGGCTGGGGCCGGGCGGTCGGAAAATCGCACCGCCTCGCGGCATCGCAGGTACACCAGCGACGCCCGGACAGAGAAAGTCGGGCTTCCAGTCGCGCTGCATCGCCGATGCTGGGTGGTTTCTTAGATTTCATGCATGTTTGTTACGTGTAAAGGGCCTGGGCGCGAAGGACTGCGCTGACGGAGAAGGCGGCGTGAGCATAAACGTGCGGAGGTCCGCGAGGATGCCCGAAGTCGGAGCGAGGCACCCCTCCCCTGGTGCGCGACGCGCGCAGCCAAGAGGCCCTGGCGCCAACCCAGGAGATCCGCGTACGCCTCCCTAGAGCTGCTGAAGCCCCCCCTGGACTTTTCAGACGCCCGCCCCCCCGTCGCACTACCTCGTTGTGCTGACCGGCCACGGCGGGGGGAGCTTCGCGGCCTAAGCGACCCCCAGCAAACCTGGCAAACCGTCCACTTCCGAGACGTCATCCTCGCCTTTCGAGCTCCCCTCCGGCCGCACACATACGTCCTGGGGCGAGGCGAGGGGGACGTCACGGAAAGGGATGGTTTGCTAGGGATGGGTTATAGACCCTGAGAGCTGTGTTCATTGCCTCCCCTTGAAGGGCTGCATCCCCGGACATGCGACGTCCTGCTTTTTCCAATACGGCGTCCCAGGAAGTCCAGCCCCCTTCCCTGGGGCCAGTTTTTCATCCTGAGCCGTTTTTCGACGGCCCCGGGGCCCGGCGAGGGCCTCCGGGCGAGGGGCCCCGAGGCTGCACGGGCTCCGCCCGGCCTGGATCAGAGGGCAGGAACGCGGCTCCCCCAGCTGGGGCCTGCCTGCCTTGTGCGCGCCCGCCGCCGGACCCCCGGGGGGGCAGCCGGCCCCCTGCGGCCGACGGCGCCGGCGACCGCGGCGTGGCGACGGCGGGAGCGGGCGACGGCCGACGGCGGCGGCGGCGGCCGACAGCGTCGGCCCGCGGCGACGGCAGAGAGCCGCGGTGGCGCGGCGCAGGCGCCCGCTGGAGGGCGCCGCGAGCGGCGCGCACCGCGCACCCGCGGATAAAACGACGCGAAGATCGGGACAAAATCGGATCGGGATAACTCGAAATCTCTGAGAATCGGCGGGTTTGGAGGATCTATTGGGCGCCGCGGCCGCTCCAGAGCGTTCCGGAACGCTCTGAGAGCGCTCCGGAACGCTCTGGAGCGATTTATCCCGATCCTAGCCTTGTTTTAGCGGAGGGCGTCAGCGGCAGTGGGGGATGGCCAGTTTGCCCGGGCCCGGGTCCTCCGGCGCCGTGGCAGAATCAGGGCACCCATCTTCCAACCCCTGACCTTCCAGAGAGCTATTCTTTAGCACTGGAGGTCCAAAAACCTAAAACACGGAGCGAAACGCCCGAAAACTAAGACGTAGAATAGCTCTGGGATAGGGTTTTAAGTCGGGTGCTATTTTTCTTAGCCCTCCTGGGAGGTCAGGGTCGCGGGGCCCCGGGGCCGCTCACCAAGAGAAACGGCTGAGGCTCAGGATGGAAAGCCGGCCCTGGGCAGGGGCCCGGTCTTCCGGGGACCCCGTATTGAGACAGTCAAGGCATCGGGTGTCAGGGTTCGCGGCGACCCTCGGTCGGGTGCTGCCACACATGTCTCTCGTATCCCGGGCATCTCCTGGGAGGCCTCCAAGCACGCCTACCGAAGCGAAGGGGACCCCAGGGGCTCCATTCCCAAATGGCGCGAAAGGCTGAAGACAGCCTGGTCAGGATCACTTCCAGCAGCGCCCCGCTCTCTTCTTCGCAGCCGTCGCCGTCGTCGTCGGCGTCGTCGTCGCCGCCAAATCCCCCCCAGACGACGCAGCCGCTCTTGCGCAGCCCCACGAGGCGATGATGATTACAACATGCACGTCCTGTCCATTCACATCGTTGGCGCCGATGGTCGGATTACAACTTGACTCAAAAAGACTGTGACGGAGAAATTTGACACACAATGCGGCGCCCTTTAGCGGTGCCGAGCAAACACCCGTGTGGTCGTCTCGCAGCCGACGGACCCGATCGGGTCCCAGCCTTTGAGACCCGCGGCCTCCGACGTGTGGAGAGGCCGAGGGGATCAATACAGAGGGCGTCAAGTGTTAAGAGACAACGCGTTTCACGGGCGCTTGGCATGAAAAAATTGCCCCCCACCCCCCCCTCCAGGAAGCAAGGGGAGAGGGCCCCCCCCTCTCGGAAGCGACGAGGATGACCACGGTGACGACGACGACGACGACGAACATGTCGGGCGGCCGGGACATCACATGCAACCTTAATTCTGTGTTGAGAGAAGGTCATGGGAAAATGTATCATAACCGCCAAAGACACAAGTCGGGCGGGCAGAACATTGGATGAAACCTATAATCAGTGATGGGGCGTCCAAATTGGGCGGGCGGGGCAGTATATGCAACCTTCACTGTGACATAAGAAGTTTAGGGGGAACTTAACACAACCGCCGCAGACGCTGGTCGGACGGGCGGGACATTAAAGAAACCAGTCAATCAGTGATGGGACGTCCGTATCGGGCGGAGGGGACGGCAACCTTGACCCTATTTTAGGAGCAGGTCATGGGAAAATGTATCACAATCGCCAAAGACACAAGTCGGGCGGGCAGTACATATAATGAAACCTATAATCAGTGATGGGGCGTCCAAATTGGGCGGGCGGGACATTATATATGCACCCTTCTCTGTGCGACATGAGAAAATTTAGCGGAAATCGCTCACAATCGCCAGAGACGCCTTTTTGGGTGGGCGGGACATTACAGGAACCATGTATTCAAGATGGGGGGTCCATATCGGGCGGGCGGAACATTGAATGCAATATTTACTTTGTGTTGGGAGCATGTCATGGGAAAGTGTATCACGACGGCCGAAAATGCAGGACGGGCGGGCGGGACATTAAATGAAACTTGTCGTCGTCGCCGTCGTCGTCGTAGTCGTCCTCGTCGTCCACGTCGCCGTCGTCGACGCCATCGTCGTGATCCTCGTTTGCACGTGCTGGTCCCCTGTCGCCATCGTCGTCGCCGTCGTGTGCGCTTGCTGGCCCCCTCGTCGTCGTCGTCGTCGTCGTCGTCGTCGTCGTCGTCGTCGCCAGACTGGAGAAGCCCAAACCACTGATTATCTGACACCGTGCCCCTGTGGCACGAAGTGGACTGTCCCCGGGTCCCTTGCTCAACCTCTGAGCACCAATCTCCAACCCGGAAGATTCATTTAAAGGTTAAGTCGGGCCTGTCCCCCTACAGGGGGATTTTCGACGAAAAATTAAAACATACACCAACAATAATCCAAAAATAATGCAAAAATAGTCTGGGGACAATTGTTCCCAACCATCCTGTGGTGTTGGGTCCTCGTTTTGAAGAAACGGTCCCCGCGTCCTCCTGTCCTCTCCTGTCCTCTCCTCTCCTCTCCTCCTCCTCCCCCTCCTCCTACCTCCTCCCCCTCTTCCCTGCGTTTCACCCACCCAGTACAACGTTTCGTAGCCCCATAGGAGCTCCGCCGAAGGCCCCAGTGCTGCCGCCCACATGCGTCACCCACACCCAATTCGGCACACCCCTCACACGCTTCGTGGCCCCATAGGGAGCTCCGCCGAAGGCCCCAGTGCTGCCGCCCGCATGCGTCACCCACACCCAATTCGGCACACCCCTCACACGTTTCGTGGCCCCATAGGGAGCTCCGCCGAAGGCCCCAGTGCTGCCGCCCGCATGCGTCACACACCCAATTCGGCACACCCCTCACACGTTTCGTGGCCCAGCTCCGCCGAAGGCCCCAGTGCTTGCGGCACCCCTCATGGCCCCAGGGAGCTCCGCCGAAGGCCCACGCACCCATTCGGCACACACGTTTCGTGGCCCATAGGGAGCTCAGTGCTGCCGCCGCATGCGTCCCCCCATTTCGGCACACCCCTCACACGCTTCGTGGCCCCATAGGAGCTCCGCCGAAGGCCCCAGTGCTGCCGCCCGCATGCGTCACCCACGCACAATTCGGCACACCCCTCACACGCTTCGTGGCCCCATAGGAGCTCCGCCGAAGGCCCCAGTGCTGCCGCCCGCATGCGTCCCGCACACCCACTTCGGCACACCCCACACACGTTTCGTGGCCCCATAAGATCTCCGCCGAAGGCCCCAGTGCTGCCGCCCGCATGCGTCACGCACACCCAATTCGGTACACCCCTCACACGCTTCGTGGCCCCATAGGGAGGTCCGCCGAAGGCCCCCGTGCTGCCGCCCGCATGTGTCACGCACACCCAATCGGGCACACCCCTCACACGTTTCGTGGCCCCATAGGGAGCTCCGCCGAAGGCCCCAGTGCTGCCGCCCGCATGCGTCACGCACACCCAATTCGGCACACCCCTCACACGTTTCGTGGCCCCATAGGAACTCCGCCGAAGGCCCCAGTGCTGCCGCCCGCATGCGTCCAGCACATTCATTTCGGCACACCCCTCACACG